ATAGAAGGCTTTAGAAAGCTATTTCTTTAAAATTCTAAAAATTTTTAACCTGTTTGACTAAGAACTCAGCTAAGTTGGTCAATCCTTTTTGAAAGTTGGATTTATTTTCTGAGAGATGAGATTTCCAAACTTTGTTTAACAAACTGTAGACTTGTGGTTCAAGTCTAGGATTGTAAAAATCTTTAATCTCTAGGTTAGAGAATTTTATTCCTTTAAGCAGTTGTTCTGTTTAAGAAACTATTTGATAATACCTCATAGGTGTCCATTCGTTTGGATCTTGAGCAAACTGTGAGTATTTTGGTTGAATTCTTATAAAAGAAGATCGATAAAGAGGTTGTTGATAGAGATATAATCTTTGGTTAGGATTAGTGTAGAAGTTAAATCTTAAGTTAAGATTTGTGAAAATCAAGGGTCATGGAAAAGAAGGAGTAGAAGAGGAAGAAGAAGAAGATTTTTTACTTGTTTTTTTCTTGATGGTTCTCTGTCCACCTGTATCATGGATTGGGTGATTTCTTCGATCCATGTGGTCTACTCAGAAAGTTTGCAAGGAGGTTTTTATCTCTGTTGATAAACTCTACCTGAAAATGATAAGAATAAAAAAAATTATACCACCTAATTCGTCTGAGATTATCAGAAAACTTTCTATTTTGAAGAAAATTTTTGACTGCTTGATTATCTGTTCGGATAATAAAGATCTCTGGGGCTAAATAGATGTGAAATCTCTATACACCATTTTTTATGGCTAATAATTCTTTTTCAAAAATAATATAATTTATTTTGTTCGATTTGAACTTACCGAAATTGTTGCCACAAATCAATTCATCTTTTTGATGTAGATTTTTAGCTTTTAAGACACATCTCCAATGTTCATCACTGGTATCTATCTCTAAAATTAATATGTCACCTTATTTAGGTAAATAAACCTTAGGTATAGTGGTTAGATCTGATTTTATCTGTTTGATAATATCAGAATCATTAGGTGTCTAAACAAAATCATTATCTTTACGTAATTTACGCAAAAGATAACTTTTCTTTTTGGAAAGATTTTTGAAAAATTGTCTACCATAATTAAGTATACCTAACAACTATTGTAGCTGTTTGATATTATCCGGTTTGTCTGGAAAGTCTCTGATCTTGGAGATAATATGATCTTGCAAGGGTTAGTCCGTTTGCAGAAAGATTAAGACCAAAAAATTCAATTTTGATTTTTTCGAGTTCAATCTTTTTGAGACTCAAAATAATATCATGTAAAATAAATTCTTGAGCAATAATATTCATATGTTTTCTGTGCTCATCTAAAGTATTAGAAAAGATTAAAATATCATCAATATATACACAATAAAATTATTTATGTTTGTTGAAAATACTATCCATCCAACGTTGAAAGATTTAAGGTGCGTTGCACAAACCAAAAGGCATAACAGTCCATTGGTAATGGCTTGTTGGTGCACTAAAAGTAGTAAGGGATTTAGAGGTTTCTTTTAGCATAATTTGCCAAAAATCTGATTTACAATCAAATTTAGAAAAGTATTTAGCATTTTTTACTAAATTAATTAAAACATCTTTACGAGGGATAAAATAGCCATCAAAAACAAGATTTTGGTTTAATTTCTTGTAATTAATAATCATTCAAGGTTTACCTTATTTAATTTCAGAATAGTTTCTTACCATGAATGCTGGACTGGAATGAGGGCTGGTAGTTGGTTCTATCAGACCTTTGTCAAGCAATTCTGAAATTTAAACTTCAAATTTATCTATATGCTGTTTGGTATAGATCATAGGTTTTACTCTAATAATCTCTTTTGGAGAATGAAAAGTAAGTTCACAGTATCTAAGACTGCGTTTCCAAAGCTTCAATGAGTTTTCACTGAAGTTTTCTTGCAAAATTCTATAAAGCCAATAGCTTTAAGTTCAAAAATATGTGTTATTTCTGGTCGAAAACCATTATCACAAACATGGTTATGCTTGGATAAAAAAAGAACATCTATTGATTTTTTGTCAATAGTAAAAACAAGATAATCAGAATAAACAGAAAATGGTAAATACCTATGTATAAAATAACATAATATTTTAGTTATAATGAATTTTTTATCATTTAAAGCAACAGATATATTTTTTGCCTTTACGCTAACAATGGTTTCTTTACCATCGATACCTACTATTATTATAGAATGCTTCATAGGTTGCCATTTTGTTGATGGTAAAGCATTAGGTTGACAGCTAGAGATTGTTGTTCCTGTGTCAATCAAAATATTTAAACTATAGGGTTTATAGTTTTGAAAATAAAAATAACCTTCTATATAAGTATAATATCTTACCTTGTTGGCAAATTATATTATTTCTTTAGAAATACGAAAATTATTTATAGAATGAAACATTTTAATATCTTCATTTCTAATTTTTTTAGAAGAAGAAGTATGTGAGTTAATCACAGAATTAATAGAATGATAATGGGTTTGATTATCAACTGTACCTTACTGAGATGGATTATCTTTTGTAAAAATAAAAATTTGAGCATTATCAGTATTACCTGATTGGAGCATATTATTTGCTCTTCTGAGGGCTTCTGTATTGTTTATACTATGAAAACCTGAAAAAAAAACTTCGATAAGGAGTATAAAAAGATTGATTACTGGTTATACTCTCAATATCATCATCTGGTTATGTTCAAAAACATTTATGGGTGGTAAAACCAGGTTTGGATTAAAACTGGTTGATTCATTTGGATTTTTAAAGTAAATATTTTTTCCTGATGAAAAAAATTCTAAACTTGGTACTTTCTATTTTTCAGAAGTATTTGAAAGATTTTCGAGACACCATCTTTTTGGGATTGATAAGTCTGCGAGATTTACTAGTCTAGGTTTAATTTCTGAATCAAAGGTGTTTGATTCAAAAATTTCAATAATATTAGAATCTATTGGTTTGATAGAAGTATTAGTAGTATTTGTAAATTTATATACTGCTAACCAGTTGATTGAAAGATCATGCGAAATCGATTCGAAATCAGAATTAAGTATTTTGATTCGAAGACATAAATATTTTTCAATGTTTTCATCAAAAATAGAAATAAAATAGTTTGATTTAACTTTAAATAAAACTACTTCTACTGCTAAATTGGATTGGATTCCTCCGATTACAGCGTTAGCAGGGTTTTGAAATCGATGGTCCATTAAAACAGCTATTATAGGAATATCTTTTGTGGATAAAAATAGTAGTTTAATGGTGATCAAAATCATTCATATATGAATGTATTTGACCTTTGGATATCTAGAAAGAAAACGATTTTTTTTTTTTTAGTAAAAAGAAAAATTTCTACTGATCTTTGTTTAGAATCGTTAGCGACTGTGTCACCAGATAGTTTTTCTATATCGCGTTTAGACCAAGGTTGGAATTTTTTAAACCAACTTGTTTCGTAAATCTCATTTGGTTTGATGAGTTGTAATTTTTTTATTTTTTCATCAAAAATAAAATGAGTTTTTCTCATAATATTTTTGAGTTTAACCATACCTTCTTCGTTGGTAGTTGTTGTACCTATAGAAGAGGTTACTGATGCTGTATCTTGGTTAGATTCAGTATTTAACATAAAAATAAAATCAGATTCTTCTTCAGAGGAACTATTATCAGTTTTTGAAAAAACTTCACAATAAATTTCTTCATCAGATAATTCATCAGCAAAACAAATTTGAAGAAAACTGTCATCAAGTTTTTTGATCATTTTCTTCGCACTTTTTCATTTGTTAGGACAAATATTTGCATAGTGACCTTCTTGATCACAGAGAAAACATTTACAATTATTTTTAGAAGATTTTTTCTTCTTGTTAACAACAAATTTACCTTTTTTAGGTTTAAAAGTTATGGGTTTCCATTTTTTTCAAAAATATTTTCGTTTTTCTTAAAACGATTTTTCTTTGAAAAAGATTGTTTATTACAACCAAATTCAAATTCATTTTTAAAAATTTTTGTACATTGTTTATACGAAAGTTTGGATTTTACCTACTTTGCAGTTTTTTGCTTGAGGTACTATTCTATTACCTGATTTTGAACGTAATGTATTTTACATCCAAAAGTATCATACAATTTTATATTGAAATTTGCAACATGAACAGTTTTGAGTTTTAACTCAAGGTAAATAGAGTAAGTTTGTGAACATAATTCATCCCATGGTGAGAAAAGTTTGAGAAAATATTGTTGTAATCAAAATTTTAAATATTTTTCATCAATTTTTGATATTCAAAAAGATATTTTTTAAAAAAAGCATCTAAAAATTTAATATCACATAATTTTATTTTAGATAAAATAAATTGAACTTATTGAATAGGATCTAGGATTTTATACTATCGTAAAACTTATTTTTCAATATTTGGGTAGTTGAGGTGCCAAATTTCGCTGATCACTAGTCCTTGGATGGAAGCAAGGGTGTGCTGTGGTTGGGGTTTGAATTGCCTGCTTTGTTTGGTTTGCTGGTGTAGAAAAGGGGATGGACTTTGGACGTTGGAATCGTGGCTTGGGCTTTTGTTTAGGATATTTTTGGGTATAAAAGATAAATTAATTATTTTTTATTAAAAATTATTAATATATGATTAGAGGTATTTTTTATGTTTAAATTAATTTACTAAATTAAATCAAATTAATATAAATAACATTTGTCAATTGGTTATATTATTATTTTATTTCATAAATTTTTATTTTTATATATAAATAAAATTATATAAATAATATTTATTTTATTTTTTATTTTTTACTCTCTTTCTAACTTTTTACAATCAGTTTTTAATTTAAATATCAAAATACAAATATAAAACACTTTTTTTGTTTTTATTCTTATATACTTTCTTTTTTAATAAAAATTTACTATTTCTACCCTCAATTCCAAACTCCACACCAATAATTCGTTGTTAGGGTTTAAGAAACTTAAAAAACAAAAAATCGGATATGACAGTGACATGATTTAGATAAATAAGTTAAAAAAGCCCACTGTTACAAAATACTCAAGGAACAGTCCAACACCATCGGCAGCTCCTCTGCGCTTGTCCTAAAGTAAGTCAGACCACTTCGCTACACGACAAAACAACACCTCTCCACAACTTGCCCAAAAACCCTCGAGTAAACGGTAAAATAAAATTCCAAACTCTTCTTTGTTCTTAAACAATGAATAGTGTATCAGTCAGATTAGATTAACATAAATATTTAAATAATTTTGTTTCATATATAAATTTTTTTTCTCTTCTGAAAAGCAAGCCAGCAAGAGCAATTAGACCAAAGAACTTGATCAAGATCTTTCTCTCTTTCATGTCTCTTCTCTTTCTCTAAAAACTTTCACATGAAGTTCTGTGGTTTTTATCCTCTTTCTTTCCCTATGCTCTTTTTGAGCCGCCCTATATAAAGTTATCCATATCTGATCCTCTTTCTCTGTTTTATTGAGATATATTTGGTGTAGTTGAGATTGTTGTGTTCTTTGATTCGGCTTTGACCGTCGGATCTTTCAGCTCTAGGGGTTAGTGATTCGATTTGCTTTCTGGGTTTTGATTTTTTTATCTTTCTGGGGTCTTGGATTGAACTTTAGAGCCTTAGAGCTGGTTTTCAGTGTTTGGGTTTAATCATTGAGCTTCTCTGGGTACTGTAAACTTTGGTCAGAGACTTAGCAGAGAGCCGGTAGGTGGCCTACAGAGCAAAAAAGAAATAGAAAAAGAAAAGCAGATTGACTGGTAGATAAAAGCGAGAGAGAGAGAGAGAGAGAGAGAGAGAGAGAGAGAGAGAGAGACATAAAACAAAGCCCTGGAAAGAAATAAAAGAAGAAGAAGCAGAAACCCAACTTTGTATGTGAAAAGGATATTTTAGGATTGTGGGATAAATGCTGTAGATTGATTTCAAGGAAACTCTTTTTTGAAGTCATGCCGGTCGACTTAGATAATTCCTCCACCGCTTCAGGTGAAGCTAGCGTCTCTTCCTCCGGTAACCAAAACCCACCTCCCAAAGCCACAGCCAAGAAGAAACGTAACCTCCCTGGAATGCCAGGTACCGTAAAATAACTATCCAATAACCAATAAATAGCCAACTTTGGCTTTTTCTTTTTCTTTTTTTTTTTTAATTTTTGGTACCTTGTTCCTTTATCAATTTCTTTTTTTTTTTTTGGTTGCTATAGATCCAGATGCAGAGGTGATTGCTTTATCTCCGAAAGCTCTTCTAGCCACGAACCGATTCGTTTGTGAAATTTGCAATAAAGGGTTTCAAAGGGACCAAAATCTTCAGCTTCATAGACGAGGTCATAATTTACCATGGAAGCTGAGGCAGAGATCGGGTAAGGAAGTGAAGAAGAGAGTTTATGTTTGTCCCGAGCCCTCTTGTGTCCATCACGATCCAACAAGAGCTTTAGGCGATCTTACGGGAATTAAGAAACATTTCTGTAGAAAACATGGAGAAAAAAAGTGGAAATGCGATAAATGTTCCAAAAAATACGCTGTTCAGTCTGATTGGAAAGCTCACTCTAAGATTTGTGGAACTCGAGAGTACAAATGTGATTGTGGAACTCTGTTTTCCAGGTTTTCAAAACAATCTAAAGATTCGATTTGTTTTTGAAACAAATCAGATATTTTTGTGGGTTTGATTGTTAATTTTGTTTAGGTTTTCTTTTGCAGGAGAGATTGTTTTATCACCCACAGGGCTTTCTGTGATGCGTTAGCAGAGGAGAGTGCTAGAGCTCAAACACAACCTCAGCCACAGAATCAGAATCATGCTGTGGCGAATCCGAGTTTGAAATCCGACCCCAAAGTTCAGGCTACGGATTCATCATCACCACCTGCGCCTGCGCCTACTCCTGCGCCTGCATCCGTATCGACACCAGCACCAGTGCAAGTTTCAGCTTCAACTCCAGCTGCTCCAGCGGTGCCTCAGTCAACTAGTGATTTATCTTCTTCAGTTTTGCCAATTCAAAGTTCTGGTAAGTTTTATATATTACTAAATTTGGAAATTTTCGATCTTGTTAGTTTCAATTTTGTCCGTTCTGGTTTTGTTTAAATTAAAAAAAGAATTTTTTTTTTTTTTTGTTGTTATTATGTCTTTGGATGCATCTTGGAGCGTAGTAGTTTTTTTGTCTGTTACTGGTCTTTGTTGTTATCTGGATGTCTTACTAACTTGGCTGGTGAGACTTGAGATTTCGGCGAGGAAGGAAAGAAGGAAAATAAACTCATTTACTAAACTGTGAGTTTCAATTTCTGCAATCTTGATAAAAGACCAAAGTGATTCAAAAGCTAAAAGAAAAGAAAAGTAGATTTAGAGAAAAGAAACCATTATTGGTTCTGCTTTTTGCTCTAAAGTTCTTTCATAAAGATAAGTCTTCTAACTTTCCATGCCTCAGCCAAAAAAAAAACTTTCCTTGCCTCAATGTTTAGGCTTTTAAGTAAGGTCCCCTAATGTTTCATTTGTCTTCTATCTCGGTTATTGTTATAGAATTGCCTGAAAATCCCACTCCTATGGTGGAAGAAGTTCCTGCTCTGGTAGGCCTAAATGGAAGTTGTAGCACTAGCACCAGCTCAGTTAGCAATGGTAGCAGCAGCAGCAGTGTGTTTGCTAGCTTATTTGCATCCTCAACTGCATCTGTGAGCTTACAACCTCCGGCTTTCACTGACTTAATTCAAGCTATGGGTCAACCAGATCGTCCAGCTGACCTTGCTCCATCTACATCCACTGAACCAATTTCTCTATGCCTCTCATCCAACCATTGCTCATCAATATTCGGTGCTGCAGGGCAAGAGCGCAGGCAGTATGCACCACTACCACAACCTGCTATGTCTGCTACAGCACTACTGCAGAAAGCCGCTCAGATGGGAGCAGCAGCAACTAATGCATACTTGCTTCGTGGTTTTGGTATAGTTTCATCATCTTCATCGTCTGTGCAGCAAGACAATATGCAATGGGGTCAGGGACAAGTTGAACCCGAAAATGTCTCTGTTGCAGCAGGGCTTGGACTTGGGCTTCCTTGTGATGGAAGTTCAGGATTAAAGGAATTGATGATGGGAACTCCTGTATTTGGTCCTAAGCAAACTACTCTTGATTTTCTTGGGTTGGGGATGGCTGCTGGTGGCAGTCCCAATGGTGGCCTGTCAGCTCTAATTACCTCCATTGGAGGGGGACTAGATGTTGCTGCTGCAGCAGCAGCATCTTTTGGAGGTGGAGATTTTACCAGCGAGGACATTGGAAGAAGCTCATGACTTGGGAGAAATGAGAATTATTCTTCTCCATTTGACTTTGAGAAAAATATTCATTGTCCAGGGCCATCTAGCATGGAACTATTCGGGGTTGCAGAAGAAAACAATGGTAAAATATAATTTTCATATAATTTTCATAAAAGATCTAGCGAAAATGACTTTCTTGGGGCAGTATAGCCTTTGTAGTATAAGTTAAAAATCAGCTGTATTAGGAAACTGGATGTGTAAGTTTGCTCTAGCTAGAAAAAATGAACATCAACATCCTTGTAAAGAGTTTTGGGTAAAGGGGAGGCGTTCGGACATTCTTTGTGTCAGGTAGATAAGCTTGGAAACATCAGCAAAACAGCAGGTGGGATGTATTTAGGCTATTAAGACTTGTAGCTCCAGGGTAGTGGATAGTGTGGAAAAGCATCATGAACTGGCAAATTGCTGAAAATGGAAGGATTTTGGTTGATCTGATCCAGTGGGCTGGATTAAGGTTCCACTTCGTTTGAACCAAGTCAACCTTAAACCAATCTGTTATTATATTTGCAATTAATTTAAATTTGTTGTTTTATTTATATTGTTTTCATTCTTTCCGAAGCTTACAAAACAATGGCTGGAGATTCTCAGAAAGCTCCATAAAATCCATCAAGGGAAAAAGGAAAACTTGAGAAGCGGGAATGAACTCAAATTCTTCCTGGGTTTCTTGTCGAAGCAGAGCAAAAGTTTCCTTTTTATCCTTTGAAAAGATAGAAGTTAATGCCGTCAGAGGCAGATGTTGGGTCATTACTGACTGCAGAATCCATTGGACCACAAAAAAGGAGAAAATAACTGTGCAATGTAGGGTAATTTTCATGTACATAATTGGAGATAGAAAAATCTATCAAATGTAGATATCATTGGGGTCCCCTCCTTGATCTTCTCAGGCCTTCGAAAGTCCTAGCCCCCTGAGAATGACATCTTAATGATCCTTTCTAGCTAGGATTTTAAATGCTAAGTTGTCGGTTGACAGAGAGGGATGGCCCCCTGATTGCACTTTGTCGTTGCTTTCTTGTCATTTTTCAGTTTCAGGGGAAAATCAACCCTCTACAATACTCTCTGTATTTAGCCGCCGCCCTTGCGTCTTTAACTGTCTTTCTCTTCTTCTCCATGTTTGTTTCGGTTGTTTTCACTGCAATTTGATGATTTTTTAATAATGTAATCTTAATCTTAGTAGCAGTTTTTTTTTTTTTTTTATATTAGGAGGATAAAATTTTAATAAAAAATTTTTAATTTAAAATTAAAATTTTAATATCTTTTTAGGTGTATTTAATCACTAAGTTAAAGATTAAAATAGCAGTTAAGTTATAGTATAAATATAATAATACGTGAGCTTTGATGATTTAAGAAATTATTACAGATATCGATTTTGTCTGAATTTATTATTTTTAGTTCTTGTTTATTAATAATAATAAATTGATTTACTTAAAATTAAAAATTAATTAATTAAAAATTATTTAAAAAATCATATAAAATATATATATATATAAAAAAGAGAACTAGGATGGCAGTGGTGCCTTGCACGACACCACTGGCCACCCACCTATGTCCCTTCACCATACCCTATAGTCATTATACCAGTTCCTACAACCATTATCCATCCCCCTCTTGAGCTTTTTAAAACCCTCCAGCTTTTTCCCCGTAAGGCTCTTTGGAACAAAAAAAAATAAAACTTTCAGGCAGAAGCTAAAAAAACACAAACAAATCCAGAAACCCCAAGGCCAAAACAGAAAGCCAAAAAAAATCAACACAAAAAAAACACAAAAATAAAAACAACAGTCTTCATCGAATCGACGAATAACCTAGCGCCAATAAGATACCTGCAACAAAAAAGAAAGATCATTAGTTTGAGTATTTAAAAAAAAAAGATCAAAAATTTCAAAACTTGATCTACGAGAATCGAGGTTGTTTCCGATGAAAGTGGTACCAAATCTGAGCTCAGGAGATTGAACGGAACCTCCTGATCAATTTTAAAAATTTTTAATCATTGGCGACCATCATCGGTGGTGACCTAGGCGAGAACCCCGGCGCTCTCCCCAGAGCTCTTTCTCCATTTTTTTTTTTTTGAAACAAAGAATAATAAACAAAAAAAAACTTTAGTTATATATAGAAAAGCAAAGCTCAAAACAATGTCATTTTGGGCAGGGGAGGATTTGCGTGTGGACCCAGACTCGACTCGAGGTCCATGCAATCGACCCGCCAACCTGGTTCTTCGATAACTCTAGATCGATTTGACCAGACCGGATCTAATCGCTCCTTAGATAAGTCCAAACCGTTCCTCAAACCGTTCCTCAATCGGTTCAACCGAACAGCGCGTCAAATCGACCCCTTTTCGGTCTAACCGAACTGTCATTGATCGATCCGGTTCAAGTAAAAAAAAATTTTTTTGTTAAATTTTTTAATTTTTTTTTATATTATTATTTTTGTTATTTTAAGTATCTTTTTTATATTTATGCATGAAAAGTTCTTAAATTTGTTAGGATAAATTTTTAATTATTTTAATAATAATAAAAAGGAAAACAAGTAAGATAATAAATAAATATATATTAAAAATGCTCAAAATAATAATAATAATAAAAATAAAATAATTTTTCTTATTTTTCCTATCTAGATGTTGGAGGGAATAAAATATATTCGTAAAAATAATTTCGCTTAGATGTTGAAAAATTATTATTAATAAATATTCATAAAAAAGAAATATATAAGAAATTTTTGATTAAGTTTCAAAAATTATTAAAATCGAACTTATTCCGAAAATTCGCTTAGATATTCGAGATTTTTAGAGATGTTCGAGTTTTCTTAAAAACGAAACCTTAAACATTAATTCTAAAATCCAAAACCCCTAAAATTCAAAACCCTAAAATCCGAATCTTTAAAATCTTGAAACCTTAGCCTTTAAAACCTCTACTCAAACTCTTACTCAAAACATTCTGAAAATCTTAAGGACACGTGTGAAAATCTCATTTGAAGTAATATGGTTATGAATGTCGCCTAGATGATGGAGTATTTAGGAAACTTTACTTCGTTAAGTTTTTTACACAAATTCTTAATTCACATTAATAATAATATTAATAAATAAAAAGTATAATAGTAAATTGGGATCTTAAATATAAACAGTCGCACCTAAGCTCTGCCTAGATGTTGGAGAGTTGGGGTGGTCTCATTATACTTAAGAATCCAACTTTTAAATTACATTTTATTTTACATGATATTTATTAGCATACATACGTTAGCGTGTTATCATTGATAATTATCTGCATTATTCTCTCTTTAATTTTTATTTACTATTTGATGATAAAATATTTTATAATAAAAAAAGAATAATACTTTTAAAAAAATTGTGATATTATAAAATAAAGTAAAAATAACATTTCGAAGGAAATAATTCTTGGTACTCTGCCTAGATGTTGGAAAATCACTAACAATTATCTTCTATAAAAATTGTTATTTCATTTTAAGGATTATCGCGTTAAATCTTAAGCGAAAAGAGTTATTTTAAATTCTACCTAGATGTTGAAGAATTTTAAAATAATTCTTTAACTTTAAGATTTTCTCAATATTTTTAAATAAAGAGCTTTAGCAAAATTTTATTTTTCAAATGAAAGGAATTAGTGTTAAATTTCAAATTGAAACCATTTTTATCCAATACTGAAAATAGTGCATAATTAAATGGTACTAATTTATGGGCGTTGTGGGGGTGTTAATCCTTCCCCACACGTAACCGACTTTCGAGCCTAATATGATTTTTCGTAGATCAAAATTTATCTTTTTGATAAACTTAAAACTCATTTTTATAGTTTTGTTAAAAAGATAAATTTTTGGATGGTCAATCACACCCTAAAAAAGATTGGTGGTGACTCTCCTTTTATTTCTCTCGATTTTAAAATTTTTTACGTCTGGCGATCTCAAAATCGTTACGACAGCTTGGCGACTCCACTAGGAACTTTTGAGAGTCAAGCCAAATTTTAGTTATGCGCTATTAATAGCTGTTGGATTTAATTGATTTTATTTGATATTTAATTTAATTCTCTTTATTTTAATTTTTCAAAATATATACATACAAGTTAATAAATAAAATAAATTGCTTGTTAGCTATTACTTTATTTTGATTTTGTGTTTATCATTTATTCATGTTATCTTGATTAATACATTACTTTGCACACACTTTGTATATTTACTCGCACACATGAGCTCTAAACCTGGGCTTTTTCCCTTTTAGAAGGAAGTGAAGTAGCTACGCTCTCGTGAGGTGATAACCTCCGTATTTGCTAGCGAAACACTTTCACTCATATTGAACCCTTTTCGATAGTAGCTTGTAATGGATGAGGATCGAAAAACCTTATTGGTCTATAACGAACGATGATGTGAGGAATAATCTGGGAACCGTTAGACGCATAAACCTTAACCCAGCATATCGTGAGCCATATGAAGCTAGCCTAGGGTAGAGCCTTGCCAATCTTTTTTAGAAATAACTAAAAATAGATGATAAAAGAAAAATATTTTCTTGAAAAAAATAAATTTTCTCTTTACATGTAGTTCATTCATTTGGTAATTGTTCAAATTTTACAATTTCATAAAATATTTTAGAATAAAGTGATTTTTGTTAAAGCATTATCCAACAAGCCAAAAAAAAATTAAAAAAAAGGTTTTCAAAAAAATTAAAGATTTTTCTTAAATTCTTTGTTGATTGGCCCAATCAAAAAATCAATTTTCATGTCCTAGTTATTTTGTTTTTCCCTATAAAATTTTTTTTATATATTTTGTTTCATCTTTTGCATTTCATACATCATAAAAAATAATACATGTATCCCATCCCATATGCATCATAAAAGGTAGTGTCAGTTTCACTAGGTTGGCATAATACAAGCATTACATTCCATGTAAAAATATAACATGCACTTGATAAGTTCATGCATTCCATACAAGTATGCTGTATTAGTCATAGGAATACATCTCATCATTCATGTAAATATCTCATTGCATTTCATGCATATAAATTCATGAATGGTAGGGTCGTATGGAACAAACGTTGCATTTCATATCCCACTATCCCTGCAACATAACATTCCTTACATACACATTTATGGTTGATAAAAATTTTCATTTGGGTCATTTGTATATGTAAAAATCTATTGTCATAGGCATATATGCATTTCATGACATTCTTTAGCCATCGTATTTATGTATTCATACTTCGTGTGTCATTATTTTTGTGATATTCATTCAATAAAGGTAGTAATCTAGAATTTTTTTGTCTAAATCCTGGAATAAAATGTCTATCTTAGTAGAAATCAGAGTGACCAAAATGAGAAATCAATTGGAAGCAAGGATTAGTGCTTTGGAGTTGAATCAAGAGAAATTATAGCTCGATCTTCGAGAAATGAAACAACAGATGGCTCTATTGATAAAAATGATTAAAAGTAGTGGTATGGTTTAGTTAGTTACTCCTCAAAGACCATTGTCACTTCCATCAAGTCAATGTCAATTGGCTCTCGTTATTTTCAGCACTTTGCCAGAGCATGTTAAAGTATTTGGTGATTTAAACAGTGACCAAGGTTTGAGCGAACTCAAGAGAGGAATAGGTGAACTAGCCATATAAATGATTGAGCTCAAAAGTTTGATTTCCAAGAATGAGCCAGCTGGCTTCAAACAACCTTCACAAACTATCCCAATTCCAAACTCACATCAAAATCTTTCTTATGACTACTTCCAACCTCATTTCTAAGCACCTAGGATTAAGCCTTCAAATATCATGCGATCTTCAAAAATTTCACACCTGAATCCATATCCACCATCTCATATTTCACAATCATTTGTTCAACATGCTATCCTGTCACACTTCATCAACCCAATCTTTAACCCAGAGTTTTTTAATTCACTTCAAGACCAACCATACCACCATCTTTTCAACAAAGCAAACCAACTATAAGGTAGAAAAACTCTAGCAACACTAAAGGAAAAGCCTCTATTGGTCCAATATCTATGTTCTACACAGAGTTATACCCGCTGCTTCTCAAAAACTACCTCATTGCCCCTATCCTTGTTGAACCTCGCAAATCACCTTTTTTCAAATGGTATGACCCAAATTCTCGATGTAAATACCATTTTGGTATCACAGGCCATTATTTAGAATATCGTATCGCTTTAAAACATAGGATG